GAATAAGTGAGGCGCGCTTTGAAGACATTTACCAGTTTAGCCATGGAATTGAAAAATTTGACACTCTGAACCATATTTTTGATATAAAATCCAAACACTTCATTCATCTTTCGCTCTATTTAAGTCATTTTAAAAATGAGAAAAAATTGAATAATTCTGACAGTAAGCGGACATAGCCTCAGAGCTGTATTTCTGTAGTTTTAAGAAGCTGTCTAACTTCTTTATTGTACCATAGTACGATGTATGAAGTTTTGATTAAAAAATATTGTCCTAACACGAACTGTTGGAACGAATTCACTAACAAAGCATCGGGTAGTTGGTAGTAACAGATAAAAAACTACAAATGGAGATACACGTTTATTTTAGACATGATTAGTTACTAAAACGATGCAAATTGGTTTGGGGACTTCAGGAGGGGTATTTACATGAAAAATAATTTTTCGTCACTGGTCGATCCCAATCTTTTCAGGGTACATCAATAATGTGATAGTGTATCTCTAACATTCAATATAAGCATAGCATAAATTTCTTGCGATTTGTCATAGTATTTCAGAGATCTTTTTGACCACAACTATGTAATATTTGGACTTTTAGGGTAAGTGTGCCTAAGTTCGGCCAAAGACCTAAAATGGTAAAGACTAGACAAAATGCATTCTGAGCAAATGGTTTGTATCTATAATATCTACACAACAGTTCATGACAGGACCATGTTAATATAAAAAACACTTTTATAGAAAAAAATGACAAAGAAAAGTTTTAAAAAAATTGGGTTTCAATATTCTATTCAATAGACTTTCCAAATTAATTGCATATTGCCTAAGCGGTTTAAATCGCATAACATTGCTAACTATGTTGTTACAATATCATAACAACAGAGGTATTTTCTAAGGGTTGCCATATTATGACTCTGTCTTGTCCCATCTTTATACTTCTATGTCTTTGGTTCGGCCAAATTAAATTTTTGTCTGTGAAGGTCAGCAACAATCCATATTCTTAAGAAAAGTACAATAAAGACGTCGAATCAGTTTAACTAAACAAAAATATTATGTTTTAATAAATAAATTTATTATTATTATTAATTATTCTTAAAAAAAATTGGTATGCCGACTGTTGGAACATGTCATACCGACAATTAGCAAGTGGTGTCGACAACTGGCAAAAAAGCATTGTTTTAATAAAACTACAAATTTATGAAATTTAATAAAAAAATTATTAAAACTTTATTGCAAAAACTATACAAAATTTCGAATCTGAATAAATTAACTTTGTAATAATTGAAAGTTCCACTCAGAATGGTGAGCGATTAAAAACTCGAAAATCCTAAAAGTGCCGACTACTGGTACACTTACCCTATTTATACCCTACACCACAAGGTGGTCAGGGTATTATGTCTTTGTGCATTTGTTTGTAACAGGCAAAAGGAAACGAGATAGACCCACAGTTCCTTTTGATGATCTGCATAGAATCACATTCTGAGTCGATTTATGCATGTCCGTCCGTCCGTCCGTCCGTCTGTCCGTCTGTCCGTCCGTCCGTCTGTCCGTCCGTCTGTCCATGTATTTTTGTAAACAAAGTACAGGTCGCATTTATTGCACGATTCAGATGAAATTTTGCACAGATCATTTGTTTGGCCCAAGGACGAACCCTATTGAAATTGGAGATAATCGGTCAAAATTTAGATATAGCTCCCATATATATCTTCATCCGATTTGCCTTTTATTGTGCACCAAACGTGTAATAACAGTCCGAATAGTATGGGATTTTGCACGTACGATCAGATTGGACTTCAAAATAAGTATGCCAAATTTGATCGAAATCGGTTCAGATATAGCTATAGCTCCCATATATATGTTTCATCCGATTTGTTATTTGTGTCCTCCGCAGCCATAATATGCACTCTACAACAACAATATTTGGGGAAATATATCAAATACAGCTCAGAAATACATCTGCTAAATTTTATCGAGATCGGTTCAGATTTGGATATAGCTCCCATATATAACTTCGTCCGATTTACCTTTTATTGTGCATCAAACGTCTAATATTTGCCCAAATGGGATGGAATTTGGCATATACGACCGAATTGAGTCTAGAAGGTAGTATGCCAAATTTGGTGAAGATCGGTTCAGATATTGCTATAGCTCCCATATATATAGTTCATCCGATTTGTTGTATTTGTTACCCACAGCCGTAATATGCACTCCGTAGCAACGATATTCAGGGAAATATATCAAATACAGCTCAGAAATATATTTGCCAAATTTTATCGAGATCGGTTCAGATTAGGTTATAGCTCCCATATGTATCTTTATCTGATTTCAAATTAATTTTGTACCAAATGAGCAATACAAGTCCGAATTTAAAAGAAACAAATGCTTCGGCATATTTAGTCCTTTGAATTTTAAATTATAATTATAATCATAGCGTGTATGATTGAATTCTCCCATAAAAACTTTTAATTGTTATGTGGAGCTCTACTAAATTAGCACTAAAAACTAAATTAGAAATAAATTTATAAGGACAAACATTTGAATTTTCATAGACAGCACAATTTCATGGGCACGAAATTGATTGCAATTAAATGTATTTATTATGAAGTGCGCCTAAAAGTATGTTATAAACAAAGGCTTATAAATTTAAGTCTGCCGATGATTTTTTAGAAAAATAGAATATTGTGACTTGTTTTCTAATCATCATTCTTAGTCTCCTTCCCTCTCCCTTATATTGCAACATATTTGTATGTGCTTTTTTCATTTCATTTGCTTTAATAACAATGAATAATGCCTTAATTTTTTTGTCTTCATTGTCTTGTGTGAACTATATAAAAAAAATGCAAAATTTGTTTTCTCCAATGTAAACTCATATAACAAAAATTCGTTATGTGTTTCTATTCTTTTCCATTCTGTATTTTGTATTTTTTTTAATTTGTAAAAAATTGACTGATTTCGAAAAAAAAACCTATACATATATCACAGTCAGGAGCACAAAGTGCGGAACCAATTGTTGTAAGTAAATGTCCTTCACAAAAACCAAAAAAAAAAAAAAAAAAAAACACCAAAATATATTATTGACACGAAAGGAAAACTAAACAAACAATTCAGCATAAAAAATTGAAACAAAACACATTGTGAAAGGAAAAAAGGAAACGTGTAATAAACTTATTGAAAATTCTAAAACAAATGGCATAAAATTCTATGTCGATTTAGCGACGTCCGTCCGACCGTGAAAATCACTCTAGCTTCTGCAAGAATTTTACTCAAAAGTTTTTTTTTTGGTCTGCAGGACTTTTGGTATAGAAAATGGGCTAGGTCCACGTTTATAGACCCCTCCATATTTTCGGTATTTTGGTGATTTTATCAACATTATTCACCGGAAATGTTTCAAATTTGGTATTTAAAGTTCCTTAGGGGTACTATACAGAGTGAGATGAAAAAACTGCAACCAACTTCAGACTGATGTCATTTCAAAGCCATTTGTCAAGTGACAGATTATTTACAAGCGTACAAAAGCATTTTGTGAGAGTTTTCCAGAAAAAAAGTTATTCGTGATTTAATTCAAGGGTGATAGTGTGATTTCTTTATATTTGGCTGGAAAACCACAAGTGGCTATCGTTAGAGCACTCCATAATTTAAATGTGAATAAATCTTTTGTGTCTCGTACTATCGCTCGTTACTGTAACACTGGTAGCGTAGCCCGACGTCAAGGAAGTGGACGGAGGAAAACAGCAACATCAGCAGAAATATTCGAAAAGTAAAGAAGGCACTTGATCGAAACCCGCGTCGCAGTGGCCGAAAAATGGCTCGAAAATGGCTCATATGTTCAGCTCACTATCGCAATATTCCATTCGGCAAATATTAAAAGATAAGCTCGGGGTAAAGCCATTGAAATTCCAAAAAGTGCAAGAACATACACCGCAACAGAAAGAAAATAGACTCAAAAGAGCTAAAGAGTTGCTTTGCTTGGCCGAAAGTGGTGAACTGCCAAATTTGGTTTTCTCCGACGAGAAAGCATTTCCTGTCCAGCAGGCCGCCATAACAGCCGATGGTCGCTCTCCGCTCGTATTAATCGACCGTGGCATCAGAATAAATGCCGAATATTGTCGCGAAAATATTCTGGAGGGTGTATTAAAACCTTAGACACGCAAACATTTTGGCCGTAGACCTTGGACATTCCAACAGGACTCCGCACCATCGCACTCAGCACGCGCCACCCAAGAATGGTTACAAAATAAGGTTCCTCGCTTCATTTCCAGGGCACAATGGCCACCAAAATCTCCGGATACCAATCCGTTGGACTATTGTGTCTGGAGTATTTTGGAAAGCAAGGTTGGCACTAAAAAATACCAGAGTGTCGATCACCTCAAGCAAGCGCTTCGCAGGGAATGGGCCAAAATACCGCAGAGCAATATTCGAGCAGCGTGTGACGGTTTCATTGGCCGTTTGAAGACCATAATTCGTTCCAAAGGTGTCCAATTCGAACAAATTATTCTAAAATTTGATGCTATTTCCGATATTTTTTGAAATTAAAAAACATGCAAAACATGCAGTTTTTTATCTCAACCTTAGATGCAAAACCTCCTGAACTAAATTCCAAAAGCCGTGACTTTGTTCTGCCACGCAGTCCTTAACATGGTTTGTTGTAAGGAGATGTTCTCGTAGCCCTTGTGTTAATTTTTTGAACAAGAACTACAAGAATAGTCTGAACTGAACTTGTCAAGAAGTAAAATTCATCAAACTATAGAATTTTCAATAAGTTTACTACGTATTAATTTTATAAATTTCTCTCATCGGGGAAATTTTATAAAAACAAAAAATAAGCTTCTTTTTTTGTTAAAAACATACACTTAAAACATTTGTGTCGTACTTTGTCTGTGTAGCAATAGTCAAATACTTTCTTAATTTTTTTCTCTCTTTATAATATACCGCTATTCTTTCTTATTCGAAATCCTTTCGCCTAAAAATCAACCGAATGATTTTCAACAATTATAATTTCTATTTTAGGGTGCCACCATAAAAACCGATGAAGAATCGGGTAAAATTATAATAGCTCGCATTATGCATGGCGGTGCTGCCGATCGTTCGGGACTGATACATGTCGGCGATGAGGTCATCGAAGTCAATGGCATTAATGTGGAGGGTAAAACGCCTGGGGACGTTTTAAGTATATTGGTAAGTTGCTGTTGAAAATATTCATATGTTTAAATAATAATATAATATAATGTTTATAGCAAAACTCTGAAGGCACCATCACATTCAAATTGGTACCCTCCGATGGCCGAGGGGCCCAACGCGAATCGAAGGTACGCGTTCGTGCCCATTTCGATTATAATCCTGAAGTTGATCCCTATATACCTTGTAAAGAAGCTGGTCTGGCATTTCAACGGGGTGATATTCTGCACATTGTATCACAGGTATGTATTACTTCTAAGAAGCCCATTTTTTACGAAAATCTACAGGTACAGATCTCTATAGGTCTCAAATCTCTGTAAGGGTTTAGAAATATTTGTATATAAAAATGCACGAACTCTTTGTAAAGTTTCAAAATTACAGGTTGAGATAAAAAACTGCAACAAAGTCAAACGCATAAATTTTTACATTTTCTTTAAAAAAAAATATTGAGTGAAAGCAAAAAATGTCGGAAATAGTATCAAATTTTAGAATAACTTTAGATTTGTTCGAATTGGTGACCTTTGGCATGAATTATGGTGATCGACATATTGGTATTTTTTAGTGCCAACCTTGCTTTCCAAAATACTCCAGGCACAATAGTCCAATGGGTTGGTATCCGGAGATTTTGGTAGCTATTATTGGCTGGAAATGACGCGAGGAATCTCATTTTGTAACCATACTTGGGTGGCGAGTGCTGAAAGCGATGGTGCTGTGTCCTGTTGAAATGTCTAAGGTCTGCGGCCAAAATGTTTGCATGCACCCTCCAGAATATTTTCGCGATAATATTCGGAATTTATTCTGATGCCACGATCGATTAATACGAGCGGAGAGCGACCATCAGCTGTTATGGCGGCCCACACCATCACCATGGCCGGTGCTAGAGTACTGGTGGCCAACCGAAGGTGCACATTTTCAGCTGACCTCTTTGGCAAGTAAACACGATCATTTTGTTTGTTTACAAACTGCTCGATAACGAATGTTGTATCATCGGAAAAAATCAAATTCGTCAGTTCACCACTTTCGGCCAAGCGAAGCAACTCTTTAGCTCTTTTGAGTCTATTGTCTTCTCAAATGCTGCTGAACAGGTTTCCAAATATACTACAACATATCATAACATATGCTATGTACATTTTTGAAATTCTACTTGGAACGGGAGATATAGCCTCAGAAACGGAATGCTCCCCCAAAAATTCAGTTTTTGCATGCACATATCCGATGATCGATTATAGATCTAGTCTTCAAATTTGGAGTGCGTAACGGAATTTGAAAAATAGTTTTAATAAATTATATTGAAATCGGTTAAGTTTAGAATGTAACTCCCATATATATTTTCGACCGATTTCATGTATGTATGTCTGATTCCAATGAAATTTTAAATAAGTGACGAAATTTAGTACAAAAAAAAAGCAAAACAATATTAAAATACGTTCAGGTTTGGATATAGCTCCCATATATTTTTTCGGCCGATTTCACATATTGGATGCACCAAACACGATATATATGTCTGATTCTAATGAAATTCGAAATGAGTGACGGAATTTGGTACAAAAATAAATTCCTAAAATTGTATTCAAATCGGTTCAGATTTGGATTTACCTCCCATATATATTTTCGACCGGCTTAACATATTTGATGCATCAAACGCGATAAGTATGTCCGATTCCAATGACATTTGGAATGTGTAAAGGAATATTTCGGAATATTTTTGCCGATTTCATGTACATCCGATTCCAATAAAATGCAGAATGTGTGGCGGAATTCGGTACAAAAATAAATTGTCCAAATTATATTGAAATAGAGGTTTGGATATACCTCTCATATATATTTTCGACCGATTTCGTATATTTGATGTATCTCAAATTTCAATGAAATATGAAAAGTGTGAAAGAATTTGGTCCATAAAATAAGTCTTGTCAAATTATATTAAAATCAGTTCGGATTGGTATATGATTTTTTAAGAAACAACGCCTTTGCCATGGTATTAGGCTAACAGTAAAAAACTACACAACAATTTAATTGAGGATACGATTATTACGGGGAAGATTGTTGCTACCTCGAATTTTTTAATTGCAACTGTCACTCAACTTCACGCTGGGCATTTCCTATGATATTAATAAACCTGGAGGACAAGCCCTTCATTTATGCGGACTAAATTTGGCTTGTTCCTGCTTTTCTCATGGTCAGCTGTTCCTGTATTGAAGCTGAAGTTTATTTCAGCTTTAGAAAATCCAGCAGGCGGGCATAAGTCTGTTGTGTAGTATACAGTATATTCAGCTTGGGCAGTCATATTGCATTTGATGCAGCCTGGTACGTGTAAAGCTGTTTGAATCACATAAAGCTCTTTGTTTATATCTAAATATAAAAAAATCAGGATTATAAAGCTCTCTGGAAGCTTTAAAATATACATATAAGTCCACCATAATAAAGCTCTCCGGAGGCTTCAAAGTATTAAAAAAATCCAATTCTTAAAATCTTTACAATAAGGTTGCCTAAAGATTTCTAGCTGGTGTAAGAAAAACATTTTTCTTTTTTTTATATTTTTAAATTAAATTTTAAAATTATTTTTAATTGTTGGGGTTTTTTTCCTCATTTTTCAGGATGACTCATACTGGTGGCAAGCTCGTCGCGAATCTGAACGTACAGCTCGTGCCGGTCTAATTCCCAGTCGTGCCTTGCAAGAAAGACGTATTATACACGAACGGACGCAACGTGAGATTGGCGATGGGGAATCAAAAAGTGAGTGCAAGTTGCAAAAAAATTCTACAGATGGTTTAAGATGGCCTTTCTCAGACATAAGAAATCCTGAAATTCCTGTTAAACATCTAAAAAATTATATTCTAAACATATCTAATCATCATCTCATTGATCATATTAACCATTCTATTTATTTCTCTAATGCATGTTTTTTATTGTCCGCTTCCTAACAAACAATCTGAAACCTACTCTGATACTTCTGCCTCAAAATATCAAAACCTCTGACAAAACAAACTCTAAAATCCTAACAACTGATCCTAACATCATCGCTCCATAAACTTCATCACTGCATCACAAATTCGAAAAACCAAAAAAAACAAAAAAAAAACAATCAGAGGGTTCATGTACCTCCATATGTTCCACACCGCCTGGTTCACCTAGATTACGTTCTAGCAGTAGTACCTCATCATGTCGCCAACCGAAAACTAAAAAAATCATGTACGATTTAACAGAGAACGACGACTTTGATCGGGAGCTAATTGCCACCTATGAAGAAGTAGCCAAACTGTATCCACGTCCAGGCATTTATAGACCGGTGGTGTTGATTGGAGCGCCCGGTGTCGGACGTAATGAGCTGAGGAGACGTTTGATAGCGCGTGATCCTGAAAAATATCGAAGTCCAGTGCCATGTAAGTGAAGTGTGGAATCAAATGTTTTGAAAGTAGTCTTATAAAATCACTTCTTTTTCTTGCAGATACCACACGTCCCATGCGCACCGGTGAAGTTGCCGGCCGGGAATATATTTTTGTTAGCCGAGAAAAAATGGAGGCCGACATTGAGGCTGGTAAATTCATTGAACATGGTGAATACAAAGGCCATTTGTATGGCACTTCGGCGGAAAGTGTCAAATCAATTGTCAATGCTGGCTGTGTTTGCCTGCTCAGTCCCCACTATCAGGCCATAAAGGCATTGAGAACGGTACAATTGAAACCCTTCCTTATACACATCAAACCACCGGAATTCGATGAGCTGAAGAAGACACGTACAGATTCGAGAGCCAAATCCACATTCGATGAATCGAATGCAAGAGGTTTTACGGTTAGTATTGGGAAATTTGCTGGTTATACTGACTTGAAAATATTTTGAAAAATTCTAAGGTTTGCCTGAAGCACCAAAATAATAAAATAAGTTAAAAAGCAGTACTTTTGGCCGAACTTTGAATACCGAACTATGAATACCCTCCACCATTTGGAACGAGTGTGGAAATCTTCAAAAAAAGAAAATAGAATTCGTTAAAAATACCATTAATAAAGTGACCATTAATTTGGGGTCTATACAAAGGCGTGGACCTGTATACGCAATTTTTTGTCACAGCCTATAGTACCCATTACGAACTTCAAATACGAAATTTTAAACAATTCCCTAAATCATCAAAATATCGAGGTACCGCTATATGGGGGCTATACGAAGACCTGGACCTGCTTAGACCATTTTGAAACGATTCCAGTGAACAATGTCGCTAAAAATATAGGAAGGTACAGTTATACCAATAGTCCTGCAGACGAAACACACATTTGGGTAACATTTCATCAACCTACTTCAACTCGTTTGGAAGCTAGAGTTATTTCCACAGACTGGCGGTCATCGTTAAATCGACATAGAATTTTAAGCTGATCAAAAATATATATACTTTGTGGGATCTAAAATGTATATTTCGAGGTGTTTTACATATTCAAATAAAAATGCGAAAGTTCAAAGTATTCTCAAAAATCCAGGTCAATACGAAGTTTCAGAGTACATTCAACTATCTCAGTGTAAAATTGGTTTTTTATAGCCTCCACCATTCTATTAACTTTGTCATTCCGTTTGTAACATTATTTATTCATAATATACCCTACAAAGTATATATATTCTGAATCAGCGTAAAACTCTAACACGATCTAGCGATGTCCGTTTGTCTGTTTTAATCACGTTATCTTTCGAACGAATTGAGATTGAAGGCCAAGGCAGGTTAAGTTCGTAAATGAGTCATGTTGGTTCACGTTATCGTATAGGCCTCATATAACGGTACCTCCCGATATTCGGTATTTTCATGATTTTAGCGACAGTATTTACCGAAATTATTTCAAATTTCGTATTTGAAGTTCGTAATTGGTACTACAACCTATGGCAAACATTTTTGTATACAGGTCCACGTCTTCGGATAGCCCCCATATATCGGTAACTCCCGATATTCGGTATATTGATGATTTCAGCAACATTATTTACCGGAATTATTTCAAATTTCGTAATTGAAGTTGGCAATGGGTGCTACAGCCTATGACCAAATTTTTTGTCTGCAGGTCCACGTCTTCGTATAGCCCCTATATAACGGTAATTCCCGATATTCGGTATTTTCATGATTTTAGCGACATTATTTACCGGAATTATTACAAATTTCGTATTTGAAGTTCACAATGGGTACTACAGCCTATGACAAAAAAATCGTAAACAGGACCACGTCTTCGTGTAGTCTCCATATAACAGTTTGTATTTAAGTGGTAGTTTCCAGAAGTTTTTTGAAAAATTTCAAGTTGCTTCCAAATGGTGGAGGGTATTAAAAGATCGGCAAGGCCGAACTTAGATGCTTTTTTACATGTTTAAGTTTTCGAAATTTGAAAAACTTTAAAATATTTAAAAGAAATTACAGTGAAGTCAATGAAAAAATTGAAGAAAATACATGAGTTCCATATGAAACTCGCAGACATGTGTAGCTTAAATGTAAATTTTCAAAAAAAAAATTTAGTCTTTTATCGAAAACTCAAATCTTTTTCTTATCTGTGTTTCAGGATGAAGAATTCACTGACATGATCAAATCATCGGTTCGCATTGACTTCCTCTATGGCCACTTTTTCGATGAAGAAATTCTAAATGCCGATTTGGTGACAGCATTCGAAAAACTTGTAAATATTGTACAACGAGTTGAAACGGAACCGCTGTGGGCCCCATCATCGTGGGTGCAATAAGATCTGTAGAATGAATGGCAGGAATGATAGACGACAGTGGAATGGGTTGTGGAGCAGGCAGCTATACAAAAGAAAACAACACTCACACACAAAAGCAAAAGTTTAAACAGCTCAAATGGAATAGCTGGGAATACCGGGAAACACAACAACAACAACAAAAGACAAACACTGCTACAAAACCAAAACAAAAAAATGCCAAAAGAACACACAAAATTACTAAAAATTGTTGAAACCAAAAAAAAAAAACCTACATTAGAAATGTATCATCCAAAAGAAATTCAATTCGAAGAATAAAAACCAAAACTCAAATAACAACAACACCAAAAAAATATTTAGATTCATGTCTTTAGAGAAAAAAAATTGTTTTAATTTTTAAGCTTATACAATTTAAAAAAATATTTATTTAAACCAAAAAAGAAAACACCATAATATTTTTTCAGCTGACATTGTAAAATTGCTATAATCCGCCAAAAAAGAGAATAAAACATCTGAAATGATAACACAAATCCGTTAAAATATTACCCTCATAATCCAGTTGTTGACCAAAAAATGCGGATCATTTTGAGGTGCGAGTAGATTTCTTTAAACAAAAAAAAACTGAAAATTGAACACAACTTTAGAGCATTTATGTTTTTAATATTCAATGTCCCAAATAAGATATATTTTCTCCCTCCACATTTGAGATACATTTTTAAAATGCAAATAAAACCAAAGACATAGGTCCGTTCATATATAGTTTATTTATAGACCAATTTTATTAAACCTTTACTTTATACCTTATCGGGGTTTCATTTTTACATCTTTCCTTTTCCTTTAAATTAAATTGATTCAGAGATATGGCAATAAATTATTACTTTTGTAAATATAACCGGTATTTCACAGTTGCATCTTTATTTTAATTAAAAAATATAAACAAAACTAATTTAATTAATTTCGTTAAATAAATCGGTAATAATTTAATTAGTAAGAACGAAAAAGGATTTATTTGTCCGACAACATTATTTTGTTATCTATCGGAAATATGTAATAACCGGCCATAGATAATGAATACTGACAACGGAAAGTTAGTTTTGCTTTTTATACCCTACACCACAAGGTGGTCATTATACCCTACACCACAAGGTGATCAGGTTATTATGTCTTTGTGCATTTGTTTGTAACAGGCAAAAGGAAACAAGATAGACCCATAGTTCCTTTTGATGATCTGCATAGAATCACATTCTGAGTCGATTTACGCATGTCCGTCCGTCTGTCCATGTATTTTTGTAAACAAAGTACAGTTCGCATTTATTGCCCTATCCAGATGAAATTTTGCACAAATCATTTGTTTGGCCCAAGGACGAACCCTATTGAAATTGGAGATAATCGGTGAAAATTTAGATATAGCTCCCATATATATCTTCGTCCGATTTGCCTTTTATTGTGCACCAAACGTGTAATATCAGTGCCAATAGTATGGAATTTTGCACGTACGATCAGATTGGACCCGAAAATAAGTATGCCAAATTCGAAATCGGAAGTCGGTTCAGATATAGCTAAAGCTCCCATATATATTGTTCATCCGATTTGTTATTTTTATCCTCCGCAGCCGTAATATGCACTCTGTAACAACAATATTTGGTGAAATATATCAAATACAGCTCAGAAATACATTTGCTAAATTTTATCGGGATCGGTTCAGATTTGGATATAGCTCCCATATATAACTTCGTCCGATTTACCTTTGATTGTGCACCAAACGTCTAATATTGGATGAAATTTGGCACTTACGACCGAATTGAGTCTAGAAGTTAGTATGTCAAATTTGGTGAAGATCGGTTCAGATATAGCTACAGCTCCCATATATACTGTTCTTCCTATTTTTCATATTTGTTACCCACAGCCGTAATATCCGTAACAACGATATTCAGGGAAATATATCAAATACAGCTCAAAAATATCTTTGCCAAATTTTATCGAGATCGGTTCCGATTGGGATATAGTTCCCATTTATATTTTTATTCGATTTCAAATTAATTGCGCACCAAAGTTCGAATTTAAAAGATACAAATGCTTCGGCATAGTTAGTCCTTTGAACTTTAAATTATAATTATAATCATAGCGTGTATGATTGAATTCTCACATAAAAACTTTTAATTGTTATGTGGAGCTCTACTAAATTAGCAAAGTGGTGTAAGGTATCATAAAGTCGGCCCCGCCCTACTTTAAGACTTTCTTTACTGGTTATGCATGTAATTGAGTGAATCAATTATATGCGCTTCAAAATAAAGTTCTACGGTTCTACGGAATCATTTCAATTATTTTATCTTTTTATGTGATTATTTTGGATTTCATTCTTTTATGGCAAGATGACATTCTGAATTGACAAAATTTGTCAAAATCGATCCATTCATTCTTGGGATTTAAGCATTCTAACTAACATCCCTTTCCTTTGTATATACATATTTATATATTTCGCTATATATATCCGATAAATTTACTCTAGCCCCATGCTAACTTCCGCGTCGATTGATCTATAATTGCGACCTGTAGAGCAATTGCAAAAACAGGAAATCAGTTTTTGGTACATTTCAACTCCAAAATATTATGTGATCATCTCCATCTATTTGGACCAAAACCCAACTTCCATGCAAAATTTCGTGAATATCAGGCCATAATTGCGACTTGTAGCAGATTACAAATTAACATGGACAGACGTAAAGACGGACGGATATACATAGCGCTAGATCAAGTCAGCTCGGCGAGATAGGAAGATCCATACATACTTTCTTTAGGTGAAACCAATATTTCGCGGTGTCACATAATTGTTGGCCCAATCAAACTTATAATCAGTTGGCCAATCAAACTTGATCAGCGTAACATTTAAACGATTTAGCCCAGTCCGTCCGTCTGTTGTAATCACGCTACAGTCAAAACGTATTAAGATAGGAAGCTAAAATATTGCAAAGATCCGTCTTTTTTCTGCAGACAGGTCAAGTTCGAAGATGGCCCATATCGGTCCACAATATCATATAGCCCCCATATAACGGTATTTTGATGATTTTAGCGACATTATCCACCGGAATTGTTTAAATTTTCGTATTTTCAATTTACGTATTTCATATAGCCCCCATATATCGGTACATAACTATATTCGGTATTTCATCGATTTTAGGTACAATATTTAGAGGATTTTTTCAAACTTCGTATTTGAAGTTCCTAAAGGCTACTACAGCCTGTGACGGAAAATGAAATTGTCTATGAGGGTACAATTCTTCGTATAGCACCCATGTAACGATAATTCCATAAATTCGTAATTTTGATAATTATAACTACATTATTAACCGTATTATTTTCAAATTTCGCATTTGAATATTGTAATGGCCTATGACAAAATTTGCCTATGCAAGTCCACGTTTTCATATAGACCCCATTATGACGGCGACTTCCTATATTTGGTCTTTTTAAGATTTTATTTTTGTTTTAACATTTCCAAATTCGTTCCAAATGGTGGAGCGCATTCAAAGTTCTGCCCGTCTGAAATTACTGTTTTTACTTGTTTCTTGGTGAATTTGGTCGTGTAAACAAAAGTTGTATGCTTGCCAACTTCGGATTGGTTGATATCTTGATTCTGGAGCATTACCATCAAATTTTGACGTCTTCCTTCACGTAGTTACTAGCAGTAGTTTTCTTTAATGGACCTTGTTTTCAGTCATGACCTTTACAAGTTTGACCAATAAACCGACACAATAGTGCAAAAACTGCTACGTATTTTTTCAAAACCAGTCTTCTTTTCCAACCTTACATAGAGGTCAGTTTCCACATCGTGTAAGAGTCATATGTAAAGTGATTCTTTAACATTTTACAATTAACATTTTTGTAGTAGACTATATAATGTCATACTATTCATCTAGGACAATGAAAATAATATTCATCGAAAAAGCGTGTGCATTTTTACGAAACTCTGTGGTAAAAAATCATTTTGTTTTCAAAACCTTGGATTCCTCTCAATTTTCAGTACGTTATATTCTTCTTTAAAAGGATAGGTGTGAAAAGTGTAGGTTTTGTAAGAAAATTAAAATACTACAGAAACCTGCAAGTAAATAATCAGTTAATTTTTCAAAACAATATAAATTGGGCGCCATAAAAAAAAAAAACAAAATAAATGTTTAACAATTTACAAATTTTTCGGTAACTAGACAGACCTAATATTTGCTACAAAATCCAAAATGTGAATTTATTCGTCGAATTTCCAAACAAATGGAAAAAATCAGGCAGATATGAGATCGAAGAGGGCTAAAGCTACTTTTACCCCTTTCGACCTCGTACTTTTGCATCTACCAATCGTGAAAAGTTTAATTTGATTTCTTTTCTTCCCTTTCCCTTCCTGCTATAAAAAGTCACACTTGAACCTCCTTTAAAAGTTTTCGAGTTTTTTTCATGGAGGGATATATACACCTAATGATCGGTCAATGACTCTTCTCTGAAGTTTTTGAGTTTAGAGTCCAAAATATGTAATTTATATTTCATAATGTGCACTAAAGAACATTTTTTGATTCGGCATCTTTAAGTAACAACTGGAATATATATAGAGAGGTAATAACAAATATCTTTGTTAACAAATTATTGAAAACAAATTACTAAATTCTGTCCTCATTTTAAAAGAAATAAAATAATAAGACCTATAACTACAAATAAATTCAACTACAAATAAATTAAATACAAATAGTTCCACATTAAGAAAAGAGAATGTATGTACCGAAAAA